TGAGATGAAGTAGAAATTGCAATTCTTGTAATATTTCTTCTCACTATTAACAAAAATCATAACCGATGATTTACAATCTACTGATAATTATAATTATTGTGACTTGGGAGCAACTACTATGTGAAGACAGCAAACATGAGACCTGAGGGCACACTAAATACTATTCAAATGATATATTTTAAAACAATAAAAGGGAATAGGTGTTTGCATAGCTGAGCCATCAGCAATGGCAATTTAAAGGAACTGAGTTTTAGTATATTAGTTTATGATAAGTATTATTGAATACTCATGGCTGTGGTGCACTTACCAGAGATTTTTTTATAAAACTCATTTTTTTTATCCATTTTTTTCATCACTATGAATTTTGCCATTCCTGGCGTAGGATTTGGTCCAAAAAAGTCACCAGTCAATATGACTTCCACTTTCTCTTTTACTTGCTTTTTTGCTTGGCATGTTATGACTACAGAAAAGAAATAGTTTTTTTTAATTATTAATTTGACTTACAGTGTGTATGATCACACTTGAGACAAAATAAAGTCTTGAAAAAGGGAATTTTCTTTTGTACACTGTATTAACACATGCATATGTGCATACACAACTGCAATAATTAAAAATACAATATGAATACCTTGAAATAATCTGACAAAAGTTAAATCTGAAAACTATATTTTAGCACAGTGAAAATTGCAATTGTTGCAATTGTTGTTATGTACTGTTGAGTTGAAACCGGGCCACAGCTGACTCTCCAGTTTTCAGAGGCCGTAAATTGACAATGCTGGTGAGTTTAAACCACCTGCCTTTGGGCTGACAGTGCAACAACTCCTTACCACCAAGCCACCACTGCTTCCTAAAGATTAGATTGTTGTTATGTGATGTTGAGTTGGAACCAACCCATACTTAACCCTGTAGTGAATTTGCAGAGGCAATAAAGAAAAGAACAGGAGGTTGTCCAGTCCCATCAGGGTTTTAGAATTTTGCCTCAGCAAATGAGATAGCTATGTCAATAATTCAGCTGATAGCTGTGGAGAGTTGAATTTGTCAGCTTTTGAAAACTTTATGTTCATTGCAGTAATACAAAATAATACTTATATACTAATACTGTAAATTAGGATGATATTATAGCAAATACTTTAAAATAATTGGAAGTAATAAATTCTAACATTTATTTTGTAATATTTTAAAAATACTTCATGTTATATTAATTATATATCTTATTTGTTCATATGTAATTTAAATTCTGATTTAAACTAAGTAAAATAATCTAAATTTTTATTTGTGAATTGCATTTAAATGTAAAAATGTACATTTTTATTTTATTTTATACTTTTAAATGTACATTTTTAATTGCTAAAAATTATTGATGATTTATTGTTTAAGGTAAATGTACAACTGAATTGAAAAGATGCTGTTGTTGTTAGGTGCAATCTAGTCAGATCCAGTAAATCACACAGGAGGAGATTGCTCATATTTGTCCAGAGGAGCAGTTGTTGGATTTGCATAGCCTGTCTTTGGGTTGGTAGCCCAACTCCTTATCCAAGAGGCCATCTGTCGGTATGTATATGTATACATAAAGCCCATCAGTGGGTGTATATATATGCATACATAAATATATATTTCCCGTGTTCTTTTTTCATGATTTGATGAAAAATCCGTGATCTTGCTTGAAATTAAAATAATATACCCTCAGCCAAACCAAATGCGCTGCCATTGAGTCCCTTCTGGAAGATTAGACATGTTCCACAGGGTTTCCAAGGCATTTTGACAGACGCAAACTGCCATATCTTTCTCTAAAAAAGCTACCGGTGGGTTTAATCAAGAAAACTTTCAGTTAACATCTGAGCATATAAACCACTTCTCCACCAAGGCTCGCTCGCTCATTCACTCACTCACTCACTCACTCACTCACTCACTCACTCAGTCTTTGCTATTTGGCTAGAATCAACTCATAGCTAACTTTTCAGAGGGTTTTTTTGGAGGAGGTAAATCTCATCAGAGGAGATTTCCTATCGTTCTCCCTCAGAGTTGCTGGTGGATTCAAATCAGTCTTTGAGTTAGCAGTGCGACTCTCTATGAACTGGGTCACCAGAATTCCCTTTAGTTATATAAAGGAAGAGTATTAGTTCATTCCTTTAGTATTGGTTGTTATACTTTAGGGTTGTGTCCACTAGTACACATATGACATCTCCAAAGTATTGTCTATTACACCTGCATCGAGTTAGATGCATACAGAATATAAATAGATTAATTAGGAAAAGTTTAATTATATTATGGAAAGATGTTTTAAAATATATTATGCTATCAAGCTCTGAAGGGTGGAGAAATAGTGCAGGAGAGGAAGGTCCTGGACGGGATGGATTGATACAGTAACTGGGGCAAAAGAGGTTGGTGTGTCAGAGTCAGTGAAACTGGCTCAGGACGACATAAGGTCGTTATGAGTTGCAGGCAACTCAACAGCACATAACAACAATAATAGCAACAACAAGAACAATGTTTTATGGCATCAATAATATTGATTTAAATATTGAATATTGAGCTGAAAAATTGGCTGGAATCTTCAGATTTATGAACTTGGTAACATAACTTACATTTATATTATTACTTTCTCTTTCTCAATTGTACAAATTGGTATTGAACACTCTGGGATTACAATAAATATGTGATATATATACATGGATACAAACTTACATATAAATTAAGAGGATCAAAATTCTTGGAAAAATGTGCAAATTTTATAGCTATAAATAGCTTTAGTTTTGAAGCATTCACTTGGAGATCAGTGTGATGAAAGTTACCATGTCATTGGTATTGTTCTGTAAGTCCTTAGGAAACTAAATCCCTGGCATTCCAAGTGCTACTCAGTCACAATGGATTAATTTTCATTACATTTACACTGTGACAGAAAGTGAGGTCTGTTTCCAATTATCTGCATCAATGCACAGAGACACATAAAAATGCATGAAGAGAAAAGGTAGCTCAGAAAACAGGAAACAACTCTTGTGCTTGAGAATAACCTGGGAAGTAAGTACATAAAAATGGGGGAGTATAAAGTGAACTGCAGTTGAAAAGGGAGAACAGTAGGTCATGTCTTTGATGCATTATTGAACACAAAGTGGTGGAGAATGGACTGAAGAGTGTATGAACAACATGGATTTGTAAAATTATACACATTTGCTCCTCAATGGGCTTTGTAGAGTAAGAAAAAAAATTACTGATGTAATTTTGAGATATAGAAAAATGTTTTAAAATCTAGTACACAGTCTATTTCAGAATGCTGAGATTAAAACTGAGTTGTGTTTATCCAATATAATAAGCTATTTATGGAGTTCACATTTAAGTTTAATGTCATAAATACCAAAAGAAGAAACCAAAAAAAGCCCAAAACACAAAACAAAACAACCTATATGTCTCAGGAGTATGTTAACTTTTCCATAAAAAGTGCACGAAATCTATGTTTTTGTTTTCCAAGTATTTAGATGGAAAAATCTGCCTTACAGCTTTAATTTAGAGGAAACACCAAACTTGTTAGCAGTAGCTAATGGTAACTTTATTGTTAGAATCTAATAGAGCAATATCGAGGCTTTATCACATCACTCTCATCAGATGACTGTGTATTATAAATTATACATTGCACTTTAACTGAAGCTGAACAGTTCAATGAACTGTTTTCTGAAAGGAAATAATGGGAACATTCCAATATGTTCGTAAAGCATTCTGAAGAGCATTTAGTATATTTGAAATACTTAAATGTTTGTTGATATTTGCATGATTCAAGAGCAAAAAGATTTCAAATAAAGCAAGTAATATTGTTAAAGGTTAAAAATGTGAATTTTCACTTAAGTTAAAATCAAAACTATATAAGGCAGTACAAAGTCCTGGTCTTTTTTATAAGCACTGTATCTGGGAAATGATGCTATTTACAAGTATAATTGCCTAGTTTCTCTAAATGTAGTTACATAATTTATGTCAGTGAAAAAGTAAATCTTTTTTACATGAAAAGATCGGTATTGGAGAGGGAAAATACAAAATTTTCAGGTTTCTTTTAGTGTAGAAATGTTATCAAGGATGAGAACCAAAATAGGCACCCTTTTGCTCTGCAGAGAAATTCAGCACATCTAAGAAGTATTACACTAGCATTTGATAAGGGGCTGGGATTCCAATTTTCTTTTTATGGTTGTCTAAGAAGAACTTTGCTTTGCAGGTTGATCTCAAGAGGAAATGGGGAAGTCAAGGAATGAGAAAAAGGAAAGAGGACAACCATAAACATGAGGGATACCTGGATCTATAGATCACAGGGGTCAGTGAGGGGGAAAAACAATTTTGTTATGTGTATTGTGACAAAATGAAACTGCCCAAAACTTTATCATGTTCTGACTGGGTTTTGGAGAATATTAGAAAGGTTTTTCCTGTCAGATATAACTGAGAGACCAGTATCTCTATGGGTATTTGTTACAAGATTGATAGCTTTTCCCCCCCAATTTACATTTTATCACTTCAGAAAGCTTGGAACAAATTCCACCCTACATTAATTTTTTTGAAAGAAAAAAAGTTACACAGAAATGGGAATATAATAATTAAAGTCCTCATTACATGAGGACAAAGGCCCTGAGAATCTAAGTAAGGTGTGGCTCTGAACAGTTCACAGAATCCAGGATAACCTGAAATTAATTTTGACTTTAGCTAGTACGTGAATTTCATCAAAAAGAAGACAACAGGAAATGGTATCTTTTTTGTAGAGCTGGTCACTTCACTACTTTTCTTTTTCTACACCTCATTTTTTTATCTCCATAAAGATTAAACTCTGGTGGCCTAGTGAGTATGGAGTCACCCTGCCATGCGAAAGACCTGCTCCAAGAAAGATAAGCAATCTCCTATGCAATTCACAACCTCTGAAAACCCATTGGAATGTCAGCTTTGAGTTGATTCTACTCCATGGTACTTAACAAGAACAACAATATATAAAGAAAAGAGGTTAGAGGTCTTCTGAGCTCCGTTAGGATGCTAATGTTGCCTGCGTACCTTTAGCAGTCTTAGATATCATATGTGCAAATCCAGCGAATGGCTGTATCCAGTGTATTGCTTTGACTTCTCCAGAGCATATTTTCACCATTCTAATGAGAAAGTAAAATATTTAAAAAGAGTATATATACTTTATTAACCCAATGGAGTTTCACTAGGCTTGCAAATTTCAAGTTTGGCACAGAGCAAAAGAATGAAATAGAAAACCTGTTTTGCAAATGTATTGATCTTGGAAACAGAGAGAGTTGAGAATTTATCACAAAGCGAAATGTAATGCTAATCCTGTGAAATGTAAGTTAAAATTGAAGCAGATTTTTCCTACTTTTAAAGGTTGTTACTGCTATTTATTGCTTTAACAAAGTTATAATTGATGATAGAGAGTAGAATCTACACTGGTATGTTTTACTGAATATACAATACACAAAAGTGCCATAAAAGCACAGATCCTCAAAAACCAAACCAAACCCACTGCCAGTATGCTCAGTTGTGATGCACAGTGACCCTCCATCCAGTTTGGGTTTCTGAAGTTTATAAATCTTGACAGGAGGAGGAGACTACACATCTTTCCTTGGAATGCTACGCCACCAAGAAAAATAACTTCACAAAATAGTCTGGAATTTTCCTTTGAGAGATGACTGTTAAAAGAAAGAAGATATTTGTCCAAATATTCTAGGTTCATCATATACCATCAGGAAGATAACAATCCTAAGAAAGATTAATCTGATCATCATTGAAGACAAACATTTTGCTAAAAAAATGAAGCATAAGATACTGCAATCAAGACCAGATTACTGGGTATTCAAGTAATGTGCAATCACACTCTGTTTAGAAGATCCTCATGTCCCCCCCCTTTTTAAAAAAACAAAGCAAAAGCAAAACCCAGAGAATTAAGTCTTTTTTGAGGGCCAAATGGAATGTCTTGCAGTCCTGCAGCTCCAGCTGGAGTCTCAGAAGGCTTGTCTTCAAAGACATTGTGGGGCATGGTGGTCACATAGTTGTGGCCACTGAGGTTGTTGAGGCACAAGCACACGAGGGGCAGGAAGTGCTCATTGGTGAGGTAGTGCAGTGCAGGCCAGGGAAGAACCTCATGCTTTTATAATTTACTCTTATCACTGTCTTGAAGAGGCCCTGGTGACATAGTCCAGTAAACATAAGGGGATACTAGTCAAAAGGTGACATTGAGAAAATGGGAATCACAGAACATTTAATTGTGCTCATATGAAACCTATACCTAGACTAAGAAGCTTTTGTAAGGTCAGAGTAAGAGAACACTGCATGGCTTAAAATTAGGAAAGGTGTGTGTCAAGGCTTCATCATTTCCCCATACCTATTCAATTTGATGCTGAGAAAATCATTCCCAATCTATGAAGAATAAAACATCAGGATTGGAGGAAGACTTATCAACAACATACATTATGTAGATTGACACATTTTACTTGCTGTAAGAGAGGACAACTTGAAACACTTACTGTAGAAAATCAAAGACTACAGCCTTCAATACAACTTGTATCTCAACATTAAGAAGACAAAAATTCTCAACACTGGCCAACAGGCAACATCATGATAGATTAAAGTTGTCAATTTAACTTTTTTGTATCCACAATCAACGCCCTTGCACTTGCAGTCAAGTAATAAAAAGATGTATTGTGTTGGCAATGTCTGTTGTCAAGGACTTCTCCAAAGAACCTAGGAGCAAGAATGTCAATTTAAAGACTAAGATGTGCTTAATTTGGACCATGGTGTTTTCAATCACTTGCTATGCCTCTGAGAGCTGGACAGTGAATAACAATGGCATAAGAAAAGTGTCTTTGAGTTGTAGTGTTTGAGAAGAGAACTGAATATCCCATGAACTGCCAGAAGAATAAACAGATATATCATTGAGAAAATACAACCAGAGTTCTCCTTAAAGAAGAGGATGGCAAAGCTTTGTCTTATATACTTGGGCAGCTTGTTTAAAAGAAGCTGTCCTTGGAAAAAAGACATCATAGTGAGAAATACGGAGAGAAAGATAAAAGGAGGATGACCCTCAAAGAAATAGATTGTCACAGTGACTGCAGCAGTGGGATCAAATATATCGGAAATTGTGTAGATGGCACAGGGTAGAACATGGTCCAGATCTGTTGTTTATACGGTCAACTTAGATCATATTCAACTCAACAGCACTTAACCAAAACAACAATGGAAAAGTCTTATCTTCCAATCCACCAGACAATTTTTCTGGAGAAACATAGGCAGATTCCCTTCATGAAGATATACTGTCTTAGAAACCTGAATGGAGGGTCACTGTCAGTAAGAACTGACACCTGCACCAGGTTTAGTTTGGTTTGATTTTTCACTTTTTTGAAGAAGCACTGGTTACTGCTAAACAAAAGGCAGGTGGTGTGAACCTGACAGTTGCTCTGTGGGGGTTAGTTCCTAAATTAGGACATAGTCAGTTTACGATGAACCACAGGTTCATCCTCAAGAGGGTTAAACTGGGCTGCTCCTTGGAGGCAAGCATTATGAGGCTTCATCTGACATACTTTGGACATGTTGCAAGGAGGGACCAGTCCTTGGAGAAGGACGCCATGCTTGGGAGAGTGGAGGGACAGAGTAGGAGAGGAAGACCCTCAATGAGGCAAATTGATTCAGTGACTGGGGTAATGGGGGTAGGTGTGTTGGAGACAATAAGATTGGCACAGGATAGAGCAGGGTTTAGGGCTATTGTACATAGGGTCTCTATGAGTCACAGGTGACTCAGTGACACACAATAGCAACAACAAATAACAGAACAGACTTCTGATGGACTCCTTGTGAAGAATGGGCATTACTTGCATTTTGTCTATAAAACCTTTCACATTGTTCTCTGGGTGTTGGTTATTCTATGGGTACTTTAGCAGCTACTATTTTCATAGTAAAAAAGGGGGGTCCTTTGTCTATCTCTCACTTAGATTCATTCTTATGATTAATATTTTTTAATCACTTTGAACTTCCAATTAGCAATAATATATAACCATATAACATAACATTTTTGCTCCTCTGAGCATAAACACTTCACCACTTGAAAAACAAAGTCATGAACTTTAAACAGTATATGCATAACATGTAGAGGAAACCCATTAGATCACTGTAAGTTAAAAGAAGTTCCCTTCAATGCTTTTATTTAAATGTTACCGTTTCGTCTCTTCATTCAATTCATAAAAATTGTCAACAGGCCACATTTCTCCATTTGCCCTTAACATCTGAATAACAAGGAAAGTATTATATAGTTTCATCTCTTTAGGGGCAAAAACCACAGGGAATTCTATCATTCCTTTAGGGGGCAATGCAATTCCTGTAAAACACACACAAAAAAGAAATGTTATAAATATTTCTTTTTTTTTTTCTAAGACGTATTTTTTTTTTCTAAAAGATACTTTTAGCAGCATAAAGTAATCACTTAATTATTGACTAGTATTTTTCCCCAAGTCACTTCAAAACTAAAACTACTTTATCCTAAATTATAAGTACACTTTTACCTCAAGTGTCATCAACTTTTAAAAATCATATTTTGTCCTGAGGCAAGAAGATTCTCCTGGAGAGATGAAAAATTCAGAACGAAATGTTGATTCTAACTCATGGTGACTGTGTGTTCAACAAAGTTGTGGTCTTTTTGCTAACATATTTCCATAATTTTCTTCTTAAGTGACTCTGGGTCAGTTTGAACCTCTGACTTTTAGGTTACTGATTATTGAGTGTTTCGAAAGAGTGTTTTGTACCAGGAAGAGGTGAGAAAGTGTTGAATGGGATGATTGAGTTTTCCCAAAGAGGTAGTTGTAAACTTCTTGATCTTTCAAAACCTTACACATTTTACATAGGAAAGAAAGGATTTTTTTAACCCTTTTCCTCCCCAGAGTATAACAATCCTAAGTCTCTGCTTGTAGCCATAAAATTTCTCCTAGTAAAACCCGCTCCTTTATTTAACTGAGTTTTGAGGATAATAAAAAATTATTTGTGATTTAAGGGCGCTGTGGTGGGAAGCAGGAGTGGCATCGACTTCCTAAACAACATGCCTCCAAAAACTCTATGAACTTTGACAGATGTTATTTATAGAAAGGCTTCAGGCCTTTTGTTCGTAGGGTGGCTATGAGTCATGCTCAACTCAAAGGCAATCAACAACAAAAACAACTGGTTGTTTAGTGGTAGGGAGTTGTACAGCCAACCCAATGGCAACCCATCAGTTGCTCCTTGGGAGAAAGATGGGCAATCTCCTTCCATATGGCTTATAGCTACCTGCAGAGTCAGAAATGAATAGGCTCCCACTCAGTGGTACAAAACCATAACAACAACATTTGTGAAATAAAAAATAATGTGGTCTCTATTGCTAAAATCAGAAGACAACTATTATTCAGCATAAAAATAATCTGGAAAAACTTCTTAGATGTGGAAGCTGCTTAGTCTCAATTCCATAGAACCACTCTATATGAAACATGTATTACAACAATGTCCACTGATCTACCTTCTGTAATCTTTTAATATTTGATAATCATCTACTAAATATATATTAATCTCCTCCCTGTTAAATATTTACATGTATTTTTTTGGATGCTAAGAAAAATGCATAAAGTAATAGAAAAGGCAAATTGCACTATGCCTTAAGTTCCATCACCTAAACTCAAGCTCTGTTAACCAATTTTAAATAGGTTCAATTTTTGTTCTCTTCATAAAAATACTGCAATGGTAGGGGAGCTCTGGTGGCCTAGTGGCAAGAAGCTGCACTGCAATCCCAGAGGTGCATGGTTCGAATCCACCAGATGCTCTGCCGGGAAAGGAGGGACAATCTCCTCCAGTACCTCTCAGATCTGATCTGATGGTACACAGACACACAAACACACACACACACACACACACACACACACACACAGAAATAATAATAAAATAAATTTTAAAAAAATACTGCAATGGTATATTCACTCACTTACTGTAATAAAATCATAATTTATTCATAGCTGACTCTCCAGCAGATTTGGAGGTGGTAAATTGCAGGGGAGGAGATTTCCAGTCTTTTTCTCACAAAGCTTCTGGTGGATTCAAGCTACCAGAGAAGCATGGCCTTTGATTTAGCAACACAACTCCCTACAGATTATGTCACCAGAGCACAACAATATGCTCAAAGAGCAACTCACTTCAGTCAACTCAGAACCTTCAGAGGGGTTTATAGAGGCTTAAAATCACATGAGAAGAGATTGTCCATCTTTCTCTGAGAAGCCACCTGGCAGAGACCAAGCATCAGAGAGATGCAGCTTTTGCATTAGCAGTGCTACCCCATATAGATCAAGATACCAGAGAGCCCCTGTAATGATATAAGTAGGTCTAAACTAAAAATTACGCAGATTTTCTGAAGAGTTGGCAGGCATATATATCAACAACTATAATTTGTGCTTTACAAGATATACAGGAACTTCACTGACTAGGCAGCAAATCTGCATGCTTTATGCTATAAATCATAATTACAAATCTTTATCATTGCAATTTGAGCTCGTTTGGATAAAAAATTGGCCATTAGACAAAACAGAAAGGGTTTTTTTGTTTTGTTTTGTTTTGTTTTTACACAAGGAAAGTATATTTAGTTGAAAAGAGAATTTAATAAACTTTCAAGATCTGAAGACCTGGATGTGCTTTACATTACACTGTGAAATGAATTCTTGAAAATATTTCCCAATTTGTAAGTCATTTTCGCTGTTTTCATGTTAGAAATAGCAACATTTAATTTTAAAAACATAGCAATGATTGTGAAAATGTCCCAATACCAAGCAGTGTTTCTGTTGTACATCACGTTGCTATGAGTTAGAATTGACTTTATGGTACATAACAACTGGGAAGGGTGTACGCCTGGGATGTGTCCTATCTCCATACCTTTTCAATCAATATGCAGAGCAGATTATCTGGGAGGCTAGGCTCTATGAGGAGTAATGTGTGCATCAGGACTGGAGGAAGACTCATCAATAATCTGCGTTATGCAGATGACACAACCCTGCTTGCTGAAACTGAGGAAGACCTGAAGCGCTTGCTGCAGAGGGTCAAGAACTGTAGCCTTCAATATGGATTGAGGCTCAATATCAAGAAGACAAAGATTCTCACCACTGGCCCAACTGGCAGCATCATGATCGGTGGTGAAGAAACTGACATTGCTAACAGATTTAGTTTGCTTGGCTCTACAATCAACACTCTTGGCACCAGCAGCTAGGAAATTAAATGATGTATTGCTTTGGGAAAGTCTGCTGTCAGAGACCTCTCCAGAGTACTGAAGAGCAAGAATGTCAGTATGGAGACTAACATACAGGCCATGGTCTTTGAAATCACTTTCCATGTGTCAGAGAGCTGGACAATAACTAGGTATGATAGAAGAATGGATGATTTGAGCTGTGATGCTGGAGAAGAGTACTGAATGTACCATGGACTGCTAAGAAAATGAACAGATTCATCCTGGAGAGGGTTAAACCAGGCTTCTCCTTGGAGGCAAGGATTCTGAAGTTTCATCTGTTATACTTTGGACATGTTACAAAGAGGGACCAGTCATTGGAAAAAGACATCATGCTTGAAGGGTGGAGGGGCAGCACAGGAGAGGATGACCCTCGATCAAATGGATTGATTGAGTGACTAGGGTAATGATGGTAGGTATGTCTGAGACAATAGGATTGTTGCAAGATAGAGCAAGTTTTAGGGCTATTGTGGCTATGAGTTGTAGGCAACCCAACGACACATAACAGAAAGAATAATAAAATTAAAAAGAATTGACGCCTTTGAGTTGTGGTGTTCAAGGAGAACTGAACATCCCATGGACATCCAAGAGAACAAACATATATGTCTTGGAGAGGGTGCAGCCGGAGTGCCCTTTGGAGACAAAGATGATAAAACTTCACCTCACGTATGTACGTACTTTTGGCACGTTCCTTGGAGAAGGATATGATGCTGGGGAAAGTGGAGGGTTTATGAAGGAGAAGAAGACCCTCAACCAGGTGGATTGACACTGCTGCAACAGGGAGTGGAGTGACTGCTGCAATGGGCTCTTGAGTGTCAGGTAGTATGAAAATGGCACAGTATTGAAAAGGTCTAAGATCTTTTGTTCACAGGGTCACTGTGAGTCATACTCAACTTGACAGGCACCTAACAACAACAATACAATAATTTTTAAAAGCATATTATTTTACCTAAATATTTTTCTTATCATCAAGCTACATTTTATATAGTCACTAAAATCAATATTATGAGACATAGTAGTTTTCTTTCATAAACAAAACAAACAATTTTAAAAGACCCATTAAATGTCTCTTTGCTAAAAGAAAAAATAGACTAGCTTCTCTGGTTCAATTTACAACCTCAGAAACCCAATAGAAGGTCAGCTATGAGTTGATTCCAACATGATGGAAATAAGTAGACCGAATAATCTCAGCAAAGCCCTCAATGTCCCTGAGTTGGACTCAACTCACAGCTACCCTAAAAACATGGTTGAATAGCCTCATGGGGTTACCAAGGCTTTAAGTATTTAAGGTAGTATACTGCTTCTCCTTTCTCCCACAGACCTGAGAGTAGGGGTAAAGCAGTGTTTTTCTGCTTATGAGAGGAGAGCCTCTAAGAAGAGGCTTTGAGGATGTTTGATGAAAGATATTTACATTCCAAAGGAAGGAGGGGGAAAAGAATTTCCACAGCTCTGCAGCTGCTCCCTTGTCAAAAGGTCAGGAAGGCTGTAGTTTTCTTATCTACCAGTACAAAAGGATATGTGCTAAAAAGAATATTCCCTTGTATAGATTATAAAGACCTGCTTGTACTCACAACCTCTTGTTGTGTTGTTGTTGTTGTTGCTATGTGCTGTCGAGCCGCTTGCGACTCATAGCGACACTATGAACAAAAGCCCTAAACTCTGCTCTGTCCTGTGCCAATCGCACTGTCTCCGACACTCCCATCCCGATCATCCCAGTCACTGAATCAATCCACCTCATGGAGGGCCGTCCCCTCCTCCTCCAAGGACCTGTTTCCACCTCTGTAAATTCTTGCCATTGATTTGAAACTGTTGTTGTTGTTATGTGCCGTCAAGTCGTTTGCAACTCATAGCGACCCTATGTACAACAGCACTAAACCCTGCTCTATCCTGTGCCAATCGCACTGCCTCTGACACACCCATCCTGATCACCGCAGTCACTGAATCGATCCAACTCATAGAGGGTCTTCCCCTCTTGCGCCGTGCCTCCACCTTCCCAAGCATGATGTTCCTCTCCAAGGACCTTTCCCTCCTTTCAACATGCCCAAAGTATGTCAGATGAAGCCCCAGAATCCTTGCCTCCAAGGAGTTGCTTT